GGTTCCATAAAAAGCTTCGTTATAAGGGCATCTTCGTTAAACTGAGCCTTCGTTAAACCGAGCTTTACTGTGTATATTGGATCACATTTGCAGCACTTCCTTACCGATAACGAAAAGACCCGACTACGCGTTCGCTTTACAGAGAATCCCAATATCGAGAGCAAAGCGCAAGCTGTATTGCCAACCTGTGGAAACGACAACTTAAAGGTTGACTATTTGCGGGGGCTCTTGCCAACAACAGGTAACGACTCGGGCGTTGGGGACATAGAGTAATGTGTACATAAGGCAGAGTAGACGTAGTAATATGATGACATTCCTAATAATGCCTTGCTCGCCATGTCTAGTAGACATAGTTAGAGTACATAGATTTAGTGTATAGTATAAGCAAAATCATTTATTATTACTGTAGAGTGGCGACTAAAGTACTCGGGATATTTTACATTTCACACTCTTTAGGGGAAGGACAAGAAGAGTTGCTTAATGTCGTCAACGAGATGAAGCGAAAAATGGAGGATATAACTAGTAATATTGAGGGAGACGTTTATGAGGATGATATATTATATGAGAATATATGGTAGATGGCTATTAATATTGACAAATAAAATTAGGGGGGTACTTTGCATGAAATTATTTGTTTATAATACCCGGGTATTTTACTTGATTATATTTATTTCTTCGAGAATAGTACCCGGGTCTTTTACAAAATCAGGCCTCAAAACTGCTGAGGGGTATTTTGCTTGCGGGGTACTTTAGTCAGAGAAATACGGTATCTCGTGCTCTTGGACAACATTTGCACCGAAACACTGCCGTTACAACACGGCAACTTTTCAAAGGTGCAAGCAACACAACACATTTCCATTTCGCATGTCTCTGTTTGGCGTCACATGAAAAAAAAAGGGGGGGATATGAAAGCTCTATACCCCTTGGAACGCCAATGCTCACCGAAAGACGGAAGGCGTGGGCGGAGGCACATTTACGTGATAATTGGAGCCGTACTATCTTCACTGATGAAACGGCTTTTGATCTTTTTAGGAATAAGGTCTACCCAAGTCATGCCAGAAAGTGATGGCATGGGGAGGCATTTCCAAAAAAGGAAAAGGGCCCCTATTTTGCTTCACTGACATGATGGATGGGCCCTTCTACGTGAATATATTGCAAACCCGGCTTTTGCCTGCAACAAGATAATGATCTAAAGCACACCTTGCATGTTGCTAAGGATTTCATAGTTGAGAATGGGATTTGGGTTAGTGACTGGCCATCCAATAGCCCAGACCTTAATCCCATAGAAAACATGTGGCAAATAATCAAGAACAATGTTGAAAAACAAATGCCAAAGGATATTAATGAATTGAAGAAGTTTATGGTTGAAGAATGGGATGCCATTTCAGTTGAAACAGTGAACAATTTAGTTTTATCAATGAAAAAAAAATGTGAGCTTGTTTTGGAAAAGAACAGGGATAGGATTTATAATAAAGTACATTATAAACTTTCTAAAACATCTGGAATTGTTTAAATATCTTGTGTTGTTGTTGAGTTATGCAATTTTTTGTGAGGGCAATTTTTTTTGTAACACACTGTATAACATGAAGAGAATGAGGTTGTTGTCTGCTAGAAGTACAACATTCTTTACTTCTGATAATGAAACGGATCGTGGAATGTATATTATGCAGGATTCAAATAATGTAATCAGCTTCCCCTTTGAGGCAGAGATTCAGCAATCAATCAGCCAGATCAGCATACATATCCGAATGTGCCCACAAAGGGCGTTTTCATGACCCACCCACTTCAGATAGCGAAGAGGACTATCAGCAATATTTTTCATGACATTCCACTGCTTTAACAAGTAACATCATGATTCACAATACTCATAAAATGCCAATCCTTGACAGAAGGAAACCAGACTTTGTTGGAATTGCAAAGGACTGGCCACTCGATGCACTCAATATCAGTCTGGTTATAGAGATTAAGCCATATAAGTCAGCTGCCTTTTCACATGCAGATGTTGGGCAATTAGCATCATTTGCTGACAGAGTTCTTTGAATCCAACCAACATGTAATTTTGTTTATGCCCTTCTTTCTGACTGTCATGCTTTTGAAAGCAGAGAGAACAGAGGGGGGTATTATCTTTTACTGAACCATGGTGGCAACCATCAAGAACAAAGATCCTGGCTGGGACTGGCTTGTTACACCTTTTCATCAGACACCAGCTGATCATGTATAAATCAAAATCAGCCTTCTGAAACTGGTGGAGGGGACATATGTTGGAGTTTTACAGTAGTAAATCAATGTATCCTCAAATAAACTTTATGATAAATCGTAAATTTCATTGATTGGCAAGATGATCTCTTTTCCTTTCAGCTGAAATGTTCAGTCCTGTTGTGAAATCAAGAGAGTATCCAATAATAATAAGGAATGGACTTTTGATTTTCATTATAACATGTTAATTATGTTTTTTCTCTGTAATGTCCATAATTCAAACACGTCTCACATTCTATGGTTGCAAAAAAAATTTTCTGAAGTCGATTCCTCGGTCATGAAAAATTAAGTTGAGGTTCACCTACAGTATATTCTTTAAACCGCTTTTTGTAAATTTAATCAAACTTGATTTATATCAACACGCTGCGAGTGTTCTTTACAATACAATGTATATAATCCACTCACAAATCTACGCTCTTAGAAAAATTTACTTTTTGGTTCATATGATGAGCCAAAAATCACGTCTCGCAGTTCAGTTTAAATTTACTGTCATGGCTTTTCTTCTGCTATCTCTGGCGACATTCCAAAGTTGACATAATCTGCTATTCGATACTAAATTCGAGAATACATTCGAGAATACATTCGAGATATGCATCAGACATGACGCGTTCAGTTTATATATATATATATACAGTATATACAGTATATATATGCGTAAACTTTTCTTCAATTTAAAAATATTATTCATTATATAAAATGTTAGCGGAATATATATGCGATTATCTCCATAATTCCGGGAAAGTCTGCGTACTCGGCCTGAAGGCTGTCGGCATCACTATAAGTGTAAAAAACGCATTCCTTGTTCTGATTGTGGCAAACCTACTGGATCCGCCTGTGGGCGATGTAATTTGCATAAACGAGGATTTTATATGACTAGATATGTTAAAAATTACGCAAAATCTAGTTCACAATAAAGGTCAGACTTATTCATGTCTAAAGCGTTTTCAAGCTTATTTTTACGCCGTACGGCAAGGACAGCGGTTAGACTCCGACTGACGACGTAAATGGGAAGTTGTCATCACTTTTATTGTTAATTGGGAGTTACTCTCTAAATCCTAAAATTTAGAGGTTAGACTTATTTTCCGTATTTGAGATGTTTTAAGCTAATTTATGCCTAATGCTAATACTAAACTGTGAAGTTGTCGTCAAAAAAATTGAGGGAGTTAGAGGCTAACTCCTACTTAAAGTTAACCTCCAAAATGACAATGTGTCATACTAATACCATTTATTGTCTCCTCAGTCCCATTATCGTTTTAAAGCTGCAGTGGCGGATTAAATTATCTTCGCTTCCGTCTCTCTTATTTGATATCCCGCAAGATTTTTTTTTCATCATATTTCCCGTACATTCCATTGACATCGTACCTTCTGAGTTGTATTTTTATTGACCGTATAGGTGTGAAGAGATGCTAAAATACAGACTTCAGATTTCGCCCACCATGAACGTGAAATTTTCATGGTGACGCATTTAGAATCATGTGACAAGTGGGATACCTGCAAGCTCCCTAACACTAAGCATCCCCTTGAGACGCATTTAAGGCAAGTAATTCCGTCGTACCAGTAGTAATACTGCAATAACTGCTCAGAGTAGTAAGACTCAATCGTAACCTAATAATAGTTCAATATAAAAATATGCGACTCTGCGTTGGGCTTGGCAGACTTGCGATTTTCTCCTTTGGATCGGATATTTTTACAATGGCCCTACGAACAACCACACTAAATTTGTCGTCAACAACAGTAACACCATCCACGACTTCTGGGGTCTCCACTACTACTTTCTTACCTACGTCTACACTAATAAACACAACGACACCATATCCAACTCAAACGTCCTCACCGATACCAGAGTCTCCTCAAATACGCCATCCGTTTCCCGACATCGATGCTCAACGCAATCTCTACTTCACATCTACAATAAATCTCACACCGTATTACATCACATTCCCTAAAGATACTGATTTGTCACTAATAAAATTATCCTTATCATACGATCCTGGGTCGACATCAGATTGGATTACATTTAACGAACCTTTGAAGACGATATCGGGAACTCCACCGGATAATGCTGCTTCCAATACAACGATATCAATGAGTATATCATCTGGGCCTTATCAGAACGTTACTACATCAACACAATTTTACTTGATTGTTCATAATGGACCATTTGAGAGTTTAGCTGTGTCTGGAAAAGTTATTAGTTTGATCGTGGGATTAGCTGTTGGGATGATTGTTGCAGCCGGAGCTGTCGTTGCATTTATTATGGTGCACAGATGGAAAGATAGGCACAGGTGAAAAAGCAGAAGATCAAGTGGTAGGAAGATGAAAGAGGCGAGAGCGGAGATGACTCATTACAGACTATATGGAGCGAGTAATATGAGAACAATTGTATAGTAATCTGGTGATCGAGCATCCAACAAAAAAATTTGCATATTAGAACAACTTTTCCCATGATCTAACCACGACGTCAATATACTACGGACTTTATCATATAGTATTTAATGTCATGATTAGATGATACGCTCATCTAGAACGTTAGCAAGAACAATGTAATTGGCATTTAACTGCCAGAATGGACATCAATCATCTTGAAAGTGAATTAATTAACTTGAAATGATCCTGCGATCATAATGTCGTGTTGCTTTAGATTGAGGTTTCGAGTTCTTTATTGATCACACATGGGTGTGCTTTAGATTGATACTTGTTAGCATTACCCGAATCACGCTACGAGGAGACCAAAGTATCTTATGGTTCGTCTTCCCTAAAAACTCCTCCTACCTGTTACCTCTCATCACATCTTTGTATAATTAGTCGAAAATACGTCATCAATATTCGGCTTACAAAAACGGATAATACTATTAGCTTAGAACAGATTTTTACGTCATAACTACGTAAATTTCAAAAAATCCGTTTATTGTTATTGTTCAACACAGGGCTGAATGAATTGCGGTTTTTTGACAATCGATTCGAGTCATGTGAAATGTTCGGTGCTTAAATTTGTTCTCGCGTTTGCTTTGACTTTATTTCGTAGCGAAAAAAAACACCAAAGGATTAAAATTCCGTAGGTAAAGAGCCATAGCCTCAATCCTAAGATGGAGAGTTAACTATCTAGATTATCGTCAGCTGGAGGCAGATCAAGAGTTAATAATAAACAGCATATACGATCGAGTGTAACAGTGGTTTAACATGATAAATATCAGGATCAGTGTGTTGTTATTTACAATCCTTTTCTCTGGTCATAATGATAGTCATTGTCATCATAACCGTAACTCTCGTGAATGAAAAACTTGTAAAGTTACGGCAATGGCTAAATTCATATTTAGTTTCGCGACCATATAATAAAAAAAGATAACGCGACGTGACGATTTATATTATTTGGCATTTGTATTATTTGGCATTTGTTAAGGCATCTCATGAACAACAAGAGCCCTCTCCATATGATGAAGGTAGGGCTCTTATTCGCCGGACGTAAACTATGAAATTGCTACTGCTAGCTGTTTACTAGCTTTAGCCTTCCATATGACAGAATGCAAGCTTCATTTTTGTATTAACTCTCTTTTCGTCCAAGGTGAAGTTAAGCATTAAAGGCGTCATTTAAAATATCGGCAACAACCGGTATAACTTATTATTATGTTTTATAAACTACTAATTAAATTAAGATAGCTGTTATTGAGAATTCTACGTCTTACAGATTATATTTAGAATGGATAGAATAATAATTTTTAGTACAAAGATAAATTATTATCGATTGGCAATACGACGGAGACTTTATGAATTCCTAATAAGAATCGATAATTTTTTTCGCTGTTGTTTACAGAAATTGCCTAACAGTGAATAATTTTCACTTACAATAACAATCAAAGTCGGAATGCCATTAACGAATTACTATTTATTAACGGTACCCTTGCAATAGGAGACGAGATTTTATTATACCATCACTACAATGGCACCAATCATCGAGAGCTAAATCTCAACTCGAGTCATGGGGTCGTGCTAGGAGAGTGACGATCTTTTAGCACACAATTGGGTGATCATGTCACCAAACTCGGTTAAAATGACGGAGAACAATTCCGACATTATTATGCATGAGGATCAACGCAAAACAAAGAAATTTAGCATAATAATTTCTTATTTTGTATTACTGTCCAAAACGTATAAATACGTACGTAGCGAAATTGATGTGATTTTATCAATCTTTCCACAAATTGGAAAAAGTGAATAATTTTCTCCGATATCAGGAAAAAGAACGGTTTGATTCTATTAAATCTCCAAGATGGATCAAAGGAATAACCGAGAAAGGTTTATTGGAGTGGCCAGTGGTTTGGGAAATAATGTAAATAATATGGTTGGTGCTGGTACGTATGCAGTTTGTTATATTTCACGTTAATTTTACAGATAAAGAAGCAGTGACTGAGAGAATTTTGTTTTAACAGGGATTTTTTCATCTCCTGGTAAGAAAACTTTTGGGTACCTTGGCATTTACATGCATATCATTCACGTCATTAATCCATTCTAGGCACCGTGTGGCGTAGTGTGGGCTCTCCCTGGATTGCCCTCATTTTATGGGCAGTTGGGGGTTTGGTGAGTCTTTGTGGAACGTTGACGTACACGGAAGTAAGTAAATATCAAACTAAATTATAAGAATTTGACATATTTTGCATAACATATTACACATAATAATAATTGTCTTTACACAGTTGGGAAGTCAGTTTCAAATTGGCGCCGGTGAGACGACTTATTTGGAGTATAGCTTTCCAAAGCCGAGAAGGCTTCTTAGCTATTCTTTTACAATGATGTACATACTGTGAGTACAAGATCAGTTTTGCGTAGCTAATGGATGGGATATTGACTGTTGCTTTTAGATTAATTAGACCCGCCGGAATATCGGCAGTTGTAAATATTTGTGCCCAGTATTTGCTATTTACGCTGGGCTTGAATGGCAAAGGGTGCGATTTATACGAGGAGTTTCATCCTCTGTATTTTAACGGCCACAATTTTTGGTAATAAATCACGATTCAAACATGACATTTTAAATAGAAATTATCCATGAATTATTTGCTTATTTCTTGTTTGTTATAGGAGACTCAAGTTAACGACATTGGCAATTCTTGCCGTAATAGCCCTATACCATTCGTTTTCCAACAAATGGGCAAACAGGGTCAACCAGGCTCTGGCGACGACAAAAGTTTTAACAGTATTGACTGTTGTCATACTTGGGTTGTCGTTCGCAAAGAGAGTGCACAACTCGAATTGGGACATGTTTTCTCCCGCCGAAAGTTTTACCCGGGACGTCAGTACTACAGAATGGATTCAAAGATACGTAACAGCAATGCTCACAATATTATTTGCGTACGGGGGTTGGAACAATCTCAGTTGTAAGCATTAAACTAAGTCAAAAGATGATTTTCGTGATCTGCATACTGCATTGACGTTAACAACAGTTTAAACCAGACCTTACTGAGGAATATGAGACGGGAGGTTCTTATAGAAACCTTCTGATAAGTAACACGGGGGCAGTCGGGATAGTCACAATATTGTGTAAGTAATTTTTCGTTTAATCGAGATACAGCTTGGTCCAAACGCTTAGCGCTAATTTATATCGACCATTTACCAACAGATTTGCTGGCTAATCTCGCCTACGCGGCGGTATTGAACGTTGGCACCGTAATTGGAACTACGGGGTCGGATCCTAACGAAATAATAGGCATTTATTTTGCCGCCCAAATCGACCGGGGGAGCGTTGATACTGTTAGTCCAGACGCCAAAGTCAAAGGAGCGCGAGCATTGGCTTTTTTCATTGCCCTCAGTGCCTTTGGCACTGCTGGCGTGTTGATGCAAAGGTAACGAATTGGGATAAGTTATTACACATATTATCTAATTTTAACTTATAAGCCAAGTCTTATCGTTTATCTAGTGCTTCCAGGGTCTTGGATTTAGCGGGCCGGCACAACTACGTCCCGTTGATTTCACCGTGGCTGTCCACATGGAATAATCGGCTAGGGACGCCCGTAAATTCGTTTATAGCACTTTTTACATGGTGCTCAATTCTGACGCTAGTAGTTCCCGGCAACAGTTCGTTCGAGTTTTTAGCTGAGCTCGAACAATACTCAATATACTTCTTTTTCCTTCTCGCAGCCATTGGTGCATTGGTATGTATATTATTTACTAAGAATTACGTGATGGTTATTATTTCGTATTAATAAAATTGCTAATATTTGAAACAGTTATTACGACGGAGAGGCGGGCTAGAGAGGCGTACATATAGGGCACCATTATTTGCTTTGTTTCTTTTCATACTGTTCGCATTGTTGATTGTCGTTCTCTCGTGGGTGCCACCAAAGAGCGGACACGCACCTACAACAAATTCAACAAATTCAACAAATTCAACAAATTCAACAACTTCAACAGCTCCGCAATGCGCAACTAAACCTGTCAATTCTTATGCCGTTTTTGGTAGTAGCCTCGGAGTTGTGGCGTTAACTGGCGTGCTATGGTGGGTTCTTAATGATAGATTTACACGTGAAGACGAAACGGCTGACAACATATAATTATAAAAAATGGTAACGAATATATATACACATATAGACAGTATTTTATGCCTGTAAACTATTTATAAACTGTATTTGTAGTAATTCTTGTTAGCAGAGATATACAATGAATAATATTTAACGAGTCGGTATTTGCGCTTGGGTACAAATCGAGTGGTTTGCACCACAAGTAAATAAATTTATCATCTTTCACATTTGATGCGCCTGTTATAATATACATCAGCTAACAGCAATTCAAATATTACGACATAACGATTGGAAAGGTAATAAGAATGAATATCATACTGTAGTAACATTAGAGTTATTAGCGGAAAAACAAAGCGGCAATTTACAGTATTTGAAATACGAAGGTAAACGAATGCCGCGAATAGAGAATCGGCAACGCGTTGGAGTTTGGGTGACAATTTACGCCACGCAGTATTTATATAACTTAATTCAATAGTTCTCATCATAATAATTGTCCTCACCAATAATTATATTATTATTATATAAATGTTTTTGTAGTTTGATGAAATTGGTTAGAATACGAAAAATATAATTTTGTATGTGCAATACGCGTACTCTACTACACAGAACTACAACTTCATAATTTTTTAAATGTAGCATTACTTTTATCAAAGACTGGCTTTAGGACGATATAAAAGGTTTGTTATTTTGCTTAGTAGATACGCCAGTAATATTTTCGATCATCAGAATCATTGTCAGGAGTAGACGGTCGCTTAGTTTTTCCTGTACGAGTATACTCTCTTACTTCATTATCCACGAAGCGCCATCGGAGATAATAATAAGGCCAATACTGTACGGTAAATTGACCAATCATATCCGAATTTAAAGTAACCTCATGAATAGTACCCTTCACCGCCCCCTCAATATATACTGGGTACTTCCGCCACTAACAATGGGTATGAAGCTTCGATATTAAGTGAAGATACGTCTTTTACTGTGTGGCCTAAACTTTGAATCACACTTAGAATCCAATCCTAATCACTGGATTGAGGTTATTTATCAAGTAAAGGAGAACCAATCTCTCGATAATTGTAAAGAGCCTAGAATAAGAGAAATATCAAGACAATAAATAATTCATATACGTTTGATTGAATCAGCCTTTGCAATCTTTAACAGATATTGCCTGGCGGGATATTATAATGAATAGAGTTAATTAAACTTTAATATTACACACTACATTTATTAATCTTCGTCGCGTCATAAACGCGTTACAGTCATCCCCTTCTACACTCACCCCCTTCTACACTAACCCCCTTCTACACCCATCCCCTTCTACTCTGTAGATACATTCGGCATATAGTCATCGTTTTTTTACCATTTTCATAATAAAACTACCTGCATACCATTTGGTTATTATTCTAATCACAATCAATACTTTTATTCTTTTATTATTAACGGTCTGCGGTTAAAAACAAAGCAGACCTCAAATGTCTTCTGATTTGATGAAAACTTGCTTAAAATATTAGATTCTGTTGAAGGTTGTTTTATATTTATCCTAAGAACTTATTAGATTCCAAGAACAGTTCTCTAGTGAGTTGTTTACGCTAGAAGAGTTAAAGATTCTTCGTCGCAGAGCTATTAGTGGAAAAAACTAAAGTGCAGTCAACGCTTGAAAGTTCCACAATTGTCTGGTCGCCATAAGTTTGTCTCTTATGTCAACATCAAGGTGTAATGCACAATCTATGAGGGTTTGAAAAAAAAAATTGTGTAAAGTGCTGTACGAAGGGATAGTTCGATGAAGTGGAAGTATTTACATTACACATGAAAAATGTATGAAAACCATCATGTAACATAGATAAACCACTTCTATCGAACTACTCCTTCGTAGAGGAGTTTACTCAAATTTCACATTTCGAAAAGCACAGTCAATTATCTTCAAAATGATACAAAAAACTAGTGTAACTTATATAGTAATAAATTTTCGAAAGAGAGACTTTTCATGATTTACAACACTTTGATTTTGGTAGTGAGTGTGGCAGCTTACTTCAAGAAACTCCTGGAATGTAAAGTATCAATATTCTTTTGAGCTAACTCGCACTGGTCAAAATCCTGGATGTAAGATGTTAACCAGAATCTAAACTATTAAAAACTAGTAATCTCAAGATTTGTTGGATAAAATACAAAATACCTTTACAGTTATATTTGTCAGAAATGAATTCAAACTATTATTTGCTCTATACGTACGTATAAGTTAGTTAGACGTGGTCGGGAATGTAAAGACTAAATTAGAGGAATATGAACGCGAAGTGGTGGGTTATGCGTTGTTTTGCTTACATTAATATTAAAAACTGAAAAACAAGTCTTTGAGCCTGATTGTCCGAATGACGTCAAATTGCAGCGCGCGGCCGTATAATTTGACTATTCCATTTCTATATTGGTCAAGATAATAAAACCTTATTATTAACCAATAACGTAATATGAGTATACTATTCTCAAATTACAACTTTACCCCAGACGTGACGACCTCAAGTGACAACTGCTGTTTTTATTGAATTTCTTTCTAGATCGAATATAGTTAAAAGAACGCTAATTTTAGAGTTTTCGTCCAGATATTATCCGTGTCACCATTCCTTAACGCTCTGATACCCTTTTCGGAACTGCAAAGGCAAATGTTTCGAAAAGCCTGTCTAAACAAGCTTAATCATGCTCTATTGGGTCGTATTTTCGCAACCGGCTCATATTAACTTGTCTCCTTGACAATACCTTACGAAACCCATAACCACATTCGAGTTTCAGTCTCAATTCATCGAGCATTGAATTATCATCGCATAGTAATACCGCTACGTTCCCGTCATTTTGTCATATGAGTACCTTGCTACAACCTCCACCGGCACGACCACGTTCAAGGTCTTGGTCAGGGCCTCGGTTATCACGGTCTCGGTCTCGGTCTCGGTCTCGGTCTCCGGCGCCACAGTCTCGAGGCAGTCAAGAAGACTACACATCTCCCGAAAAGCTGACTTCAACTTGCGATGGGGAAAAGAAGGCTTTGCTAATTGGGATTAATTACCAAAAAACCAAATTTGAGTTGCAAGGTTAGTAACGCTTCTTAAGAATGATGATATAAAGTGTTTTCTCTTGACCTTCAATGAGCTAACAAAAAGGCTATCTTTTTACGCTATTGTATCTTTCTTTGCAATTTGGTTCATGTAGGATGTCACAACGATGTAGAAAATATGAAAAATTTCTTGAAGAAATTTAACTTTCCGGATAAAAACATCTCAATCCTAACAGACGATCAACAAGGGTCATCCATTCCTACTAAAGAGAACATCCTCGAGGCTATGAAATGTCTTGTTGCAGGCGCCAAGCCGGGCGACTCGTATGTATATCAAAGATTAAGCTGTCATATGCGAATACGACTTGTACCCATGTTCTGCTCTCATCGCATGACTTCTTCTGTATGCATACTATAGTCTATTCTTTCACTTCAGTGGCCATGGGGGTCAAGTAAGAGATAAAAACGAAGATGAAGAAGATGGCTTTGATGAGACCATCATGCCTCTTGATTTTGAAACGAATGGAGTGATTGTCGATGATGTATGTAAGATTGTGTGAACTGCAATTATGGCCAAATCTGTTGCATTAACTTACCTACATTCCCATAGATAATGCATGATATTTTAGTAAAACCCTTGCCGGAAGGTATGTCTTGCGAATAAACTCATAACAGTCGTTATTAATCAGTGCATACAGCTTACTTTTCTCATCACCACTCATTTTCACTCACCCACTATTACGAAGGTGTCCGCCTAACTGCAATTTTTGACTCTTGCCACTCGGGGACTGCCCTGGATTTACCCTACATATATTCTACCAATGGCTCAATCAAACGATCTAGCCTTATCGCTTCAGGAGGGGCGACCTTAGCAAACATCTACAGGGCAAATCTAAGAGGAGATTTTGAATCTATACCGAACCATATCGTTGGTCTTTTTGTGAAGGTATTTAAGGGAGAGAAGATTAGAGAGAAGAATAGACGGGAAAAAAGTAGTAAGGCTGATGTTATCATGTTTGGCGGGTAAGTAAACCGAAATTTAGGGATGGTCAACAAAGAAGATAAGAGTGATGGAATGAAAATATGTGTCAGCTGTTAAAAGGTTGGTTTATTATAAAGGTGCAAGGACATGCAGTATTCTGCTGATGCACAGGAAAATGGAAAGTGTATTGGAGCGATGTCTCACGCTTTTATAACGACGTAAGTAATTAAACGCAAATGGTCAATTGACGCTTCAGTTGATTATAATGAGGATCTCTCATTTAGATTATCGGCGGATAACAACGTATCCTACCTGAAGCTATTGAACACGGTTCGCGATCAGTTGTCATCAAAGTACTCTCAGAAGCCACAGCTTAGTGCGTGAGTACATTGTAATGACTGCAGCTTGAAGTTGTCGACATGAGGGAATTTACGAATATTATTATTTACCATTTTGCATTATGCATTTTCTTTTTCTTATATTTTTCAGCTCTCATCCGTTCAACCTGGATGACATATTCAAAATGTAAATTGTTAAAAGACCAGCGAAATTGTATCGTCATATCAACATATAAATTAACATAGCAAACATATTTATGAAGATAAAAACGACTCTTCCCATAAACGGAACGCGAACAGCATGTTGTTCGGAAATTAAACGTTATTAGTTTAGCCATATTTGACTGTCAAAATCTTTTTTCTTTTTCTTTTTTTTTGCGTACGGGTTATTCCCGCATTGGAACAAGATGAAGTGGCAATCGTCAATGATGTTGTCTTTGTATCTGTATAGAATGTTCTACCACCCTTCAAGTGACGTAATCGCTGATGATATCACCCCATCTTTATGTTGCGCACATCCCGACATTATTTGTTATGTCCTAAGAGGTGCACTTGCATCACAGGCTTTAAGTGTTACCGGAGCAAAGAGTTATTCAATTGAAGAAAGTCTTTGAGCAAGCATAGGTTAAAAATTCAGAGAATACGTTCAAGGGATTATAAATAGGACACCTGATTTTTAAGATGACCCAATGGGTGTATTATATATAGAAAGCAGCGAAATCGAGTGTTTCAAGAGATTTTATACAGTATGTAAAAAGGATAACGGAAGGGAAAGATTACTCATCAATGCAGGAGTGTGGCATAAAACAAACATTTGATATGCGAAAAATATAAGACAACTTTTTCTATTCCGCGTTCGATTTGATCACGGTCAACCTGTTAACGTTTGAGCAAAAGGAAAGAACTGTTTCTGATCTTGAAAATCGGATATACTATCGTCTACTGATTAGTCTCGCATACTTAACAAGAAAGTTTTTAACGGCAAAGCAGAGTGAGTCACGGAAGTAAAGTTTACAGGTTAATCTGTTTATTGCCATTAATTAAGGTACACCTGAAAAAAACAACTGTCTTTAGTCATTAGGAAATGTCTGGTTATTCTTAGTCCTCTTATTTCTTAGTCTTCTTGTGTTTCTTTGAACCCCCTTCAGCAGGCGGTGCAGTGCCATTGATGTATCCACACTGTTCGAGCAAATCTCTTGCGCAATTATTGATATCCTTGAATCGATCTATAAGTAAACAACAATGATCAATATATTTGAACATAACATGGTCAGCAAGAAATGACAATCAATAAATCCAGTTTACCAGGGCCAAGTTTTATCCCACCATACCACCGAGAGACAATTACTAACACATTCTTCGCGTCGAGTATTTGTAAAAGATGAAGTAGCCTTCCTCCGGCGGCGTCTTCTCCATCGTCATCATTGTCTAATTAATGGGAAGCAATATAGATTATAAAATATCTACAAATATCAATCGATTACGCTCATTGCTCTTTTAAATAATAAAGGCACTATGCCTGCAATGACATTCAGACACTGTACATCAAAAAAATCAGTCTCACCTTGCAGTATGACTCCTCCTTCTAGTACAATCCTATACGCCAATATATTATGCGTAGCTCTCGCTATCTTTTTATTACTTAGCAAGGCCTCTCTTACTGCCTTCACTTCATTAACATTATTCACCGGCGCAAGATGAGCAACAAATACAGACTTTTTGTGTTCTAACGGTGTGCCGTGAGTTATTGATGGACACGCTAAATTTAATTCATCCGCATTGCTGGTTGAAAAGTCGCCCCGAAGGTCACTGACATTACTACTTTCATCATTATGATTCCCATTAATATTACCGTCATTATGATCTCTATGATTAATTCCGCTATTCTCTCTATTCCTACTATCTTCTTCATCAACTCTACTTTTACTTTCCACTTCATCCAACTTTCCTTCCATATATTCTCTCAACCACTCTGCCCATTGGAATATGACCACTTCTTCGGGTATAAATAATTCTTTAAATCCCTCATGTATTTCTTTTTTTATTTCGTCCTCTATCTTGAGTGTACCACAGTAGAGACTATTGATTTCATATACTGGTGGATCTTGTGATGGATACGTAGATGGGAAATAGAGCGTTAGTGTGATCGATTTTGGGGAAGAGAATGTTTGATTTGTCGAATCGGACGTTAAATTTATTCTGAGAATATATGGAGATAAGGGATTATTAGGGTCCACCGGATAGAACGATTCATCACCGAAGATTGACGATAGCGCGAGAAGTTCTTCAGATAGCGCAGATTGATCAGACATTCTAATGGTAATTCTACTCGTGATGTAACATAAAACCAAATTTTCGAGTTCTGAAATATCATTGGCTCATTATCATCAATCTAATACTTTGCTTGTGTCATTAAACCGACCTGAGATCTCATTGGTCAATCTAGCGGTTTAATGACCAGATCGGCTCTCCTAGAAACTTATCCTCCAACAATGTCTTCGTTAATTTCTCTAACCAAAACGTCGCTACAGTCGTCCGATGGCACGCTCTTTATCATTACAATGAAGAATGGAGAAAATCGAATAGACACGACCTTTTGTCAAACCATGTTCACCATTCTTGACGAAATCGAAGCTTTCTGCGAGGAAATGGACGGGACCCCTGCAGCATTAATAACCACCAGCGAAGGGAAGTTTTATAGCAATGGGTTGGATTTAGAACATGCTCTATCGACGCCAGGATTCTTTGAGGATTATTATTTGGCGTTGATGGAGAGATTCCTGACATTTAGAATTCCAACTGTTGCGGCTTTGAATGGGCATGCTTTTGCAGGAGGATGTATGATGGCCCTTGCTCATGGTAAGGGCAAAAAAAAGAAGGAGAAAAAGGGAATCTGAGGGTGAATATCGTAGGAGTAGCTTTATGTATGATATGAACGCCTTATGACAGCAATTTTAATTGATCTTATAGATTATCGTGTTATGAGGTCTGATAGAGGTTTTTTGTGTATGGTAAGTAGCATTTACGGGCCAATTATTAAAGCTATCTTCAGCGTGCAATGATAAAGCCAAGGATCAGAATGAATTTTGCAAAAACAAAGTTCAAGAATTGTGTTTTATTTTGCTACATGGCATTTTCCCCAACGTACTCACATCTTGATTTGTAAATATGCCCCCCAGAACGAAGTCGATATCCCATCCCCCCTTCATCCAGGTATGGCAGCATTGGTAAGGGCAAAAATGACACCTCGTACTTACCGTAACTGCATCCTTCAGAGTCATCGCTTCACTGCTCAGGATGCATTGGATAATCAGTTGGTTGATGTCATTTGTCCTGAAGGTGAAGTGTTGAGCAAAGCCATAGAATTAGCAACAAAGTGGAGTGGTAAAGCCAAGGCTGGTGAGATTTACAGTCAATTGAAACGAGAAATGTACACCGATGCAGTTCATTTCCTGACTGTGCGCGGATGGGGGAAGGCCAAGTTATAAGATGAGGAGTAGTGGCAATAATAGAAGACGACGTTTAGTCAAGTTTCTGGCATATATGTCGTATAAATTACATTAATATAAAAAAAAAAGACTTTTCTTTTAATTACCACCACTCTTTTGTAATATACAAGAATTCTATTTTGACGGTTTGCTTTGTCCATTGTAACTCAGTGTCTAGAATATAGAGATAACATAAAGTTTATAGCTACGTACTTTATTACTCATAATTACACTTGAGTTCGTAGTATTCAGCTTATTGGAATAGTCAATTAACGCATACAGCCAAAAAACACTTGTATGGGAGCGTTAACCTGATAAACTTAGAGCTCTTGTACATCCATAGAGCAGTCAGTGTTCGTCTCATTGACTTGAGATGAAATTGAACGTTCTACGCGTTTACTGAGTACAAGCCAACGTCGGCCATAATGGATGAATTAAGGTCGAGACACTTTCTTAGTTATTAATATTAATCTAGTTTTAATAATCTGAAATCTGAAAGGCTATGAAAGTCGGCAAAATAAAAATATTCCATTCTCGTTTTCTATCTCAACTCTCCTCGCAGCGCGTTCTAATATTGATAAAGAATTGTTAGATGTAGGTGCCATTGAATCCACTATGGATAAAAATTATGCATCGAATATGTTAAAAATTCATAAAGACTTGAAAGCGAGACTTTTTATGATAGCGCGGGGGTGAGGAGGTGGATTTGTAAAAAGTATCTATAACAATAATTCACTGTCTCATCGAAACAATATATATTGGTGATAACTGTGATGATATTACAGCCCTAATTTCTGATACACTGCAAAATAAACTGTAGCCTTATAAGAAGATTATTTCCGTGTCATTACTTGTATTGACAATCTGACAGATTTTCGTTCTGTCAATATTGAGTTTAAAATTCGAGCAAACCCTAACAATGACATGTAATGTCTGACGGTTAATGTGCTCTATTCGGATTTAGTACTACACCCAACATCCATGACCATAATGTTATCTGCAATCGGATATTTTATTTTTACCTTTAGCAACATCGGGGGCATGTTATGCTATTGGTTTTTCGCAAATACGCTTTGCACGTTGATTCACGTCTTGGAAGCACTCGTCGATCTGGAAAACCTACGTTTCAATCGTATCATGATTGTCGAGCTATGCGTGTATTAAACGACACTACACTTTGTCTACATATACATGGACATGTACAGTCCTTACTTTCTCCAGACGTATTATGCAACGCGAAGACGGGTGGAACTTCCGATGAGTAAATGTTGAAAGAGAATCAATAATGAAAAGGCTTGTATTAAATGAAATGAGATGACAAGCCACAGCTTTATTCAAATGATTAGATAATATAGCATATGCGCGTAGATGCTAAATGAATGCTTTATTCACACAGATATAGTATTGATAACCCGTTTCTCAAAAAACCACTGCTACGCTTGTATCGACGTAATCGTGCATTGCTCTGCAAACGTCTATCTGGTAATTTCATAGATGTTTCAAATCTCTGCTTTATTATTAACTGTTGACCTTTTACGTGTCTTTATTTCTGGTAATTTATTTATTGCTTTAAAGATTATACGTAGTATATGGCATTTATTTAAATCTGCCATTTATATTTTGTTGTCAATAGATTATCTCGTGAATTTATTTCTATTATATCGGAATCTCTTTTTTGATCTTGTCTTATTGACAAGTCTAGAACATAGGACTCTGCCTTACAAATTCTAAGTTCAGAGTCTTTAATAGGCAGGCAGATATTAGTAATCACTTTGTTATATTAATATGTACAACTGCAGATCAGATTTACTCCCCATTTATATGAAAATGACCGGAGATTCTGAAAAAAGAACTTGTTGCCGAGAAGTTATATTATTGATATATAGACGCGGCAGATGGGTGGTTCCGAACCATCTGTCCTTGCTTCCGCCAAAAGTAGTTAAGATAGATAACTGTAGTAATAGTAGCTATTTTATTAATTACGAAACAGAAATACGGAGATTTGAACATCTTTGGCGTTTTCTATTGCATTATTAATAAAGACCGAAGACAAGATGAAATCGATCGATCTGGGACAGTAAAAATAATATGTAGATAGTTGCTAATCTCATTAAGTTCGATACTGATGTAGCAGCAGCAGAACTTCTGTTAACACGGAAAGCTTTACGAGTCGAAGAAGAAAAAGCGCAGTTGAGGTAATACGACTTTACTTAACAGGCGTCCCATATTTCAGATAAAAACTTTTTTCTATTTATTTTTATTTTATTAGTTTGATTTTATTTTATATTAGCATTAGGCACTCTGAGGGAACATACCCAAACAGAAAGAAATTTCCGATGCTTGATTTTGATTATTGGTTGTGTCCATAACATCAGGACTCTTTGCATTATGCTTAGAACAGGTAAGATGTTTTCACTGAAAAAAAATATAATCAATTGATAATCTGTTGATAGTCAAATGATTAAGTTATCCAATAAGAGCTCCGGCAGCTCTTTAGGAAATGTGGATAAATTTACTACAGATTTGTATCAACGAAGGTTTAGCTATAAGCTGAAATTACTATTTGATCTTACTTTTTGTATGGTAAAAGTATCAATAACAATGTGAAGTGTCTTTATAGCATCGTTGAGAATAACAATCTCATTTTGATATCTGTTGCCCGGCCCATAATTTTATGATTATCAAACCATTTTTATATGCCAGTCAACAGATAATTAGTCCAGGTGGATGAGCATAATTTCTAATAACATCCTCTATCCTCCTCTCAGTTTCTTCTTTTTCTTTTTTTTAATCTTATATGTGTAATCTGCTTTCGTACTATTTTTGCAGGCTTCACACTAATCGTCTTTTTGTCATTTTTTTGGTGCACATAGATCCACCCTTCTCCATTCAAGAATCAAATTCATTTGAATGGCGGTTTCCTTATACTTCGACAATGATGCCAGTGCTGACAACTCCCCTTTCTCTAATAGCTAAACTCATCATTCCTCTGCCGAATATTCTATTCTTCAGTGCAGGAATAACTGTCTTTGGTGGTGGTAGCGCTACTGCGAGTGTTGTTATGCTTCTTATGATGCTATCAAATGCAAATCCAATGTACCATGTCTTTCCTTCCGGCCCTCCAAGAGCAAGAATAACGCTGAAGACAATTATGTATACCAAAGCCATTGTGCCTATTACAGCCGTATACCATACTCCAACAGCAGCAGTTGACGCGTTTACTCGGCGTTTGTTGTTTTGTGTACGAACGGTCATGACAGGAAAGAATGCATATACAAATGCAAGTACACCGGCGCAGATATCTACTATTGTGATTGTTGCTGCATATATAAACGGAACTGGTAGTTTGTCTGTAGCCGTCAAACCAGCAAAGATGAGGTTGGCTATATCAAACGCTGTAAGTGTGCCAACTGCTATCTTGAAAAGGTGATTATTCCATTCGTCGCTGGGATAGAATTGACGACCCAAGTCTATTATGCTTCCAACTAAAGCAGTTGGATATATGGCTATTAACAAGAAAAAGCTGAACCAATACCAGCGATCTTCCGGTGAAGAGAGTTGGACGCGGCATACGTTTATTACCATTAACGTTACTTGACACATGAATGATACTAGGCTGGAGGTTGAAGATGAGGGATGGAAGAGAGAGAGAGAGCGAAAAGGTTAGCGTCTTTAATCATCGTATTGGTCGTAGCTCATATAAAATTCATTCCTCTATGTATGCTTTATACTTACGCTGCCGTTCGGAGCTTTGTTGGATTGGTTAGCATTTTGACTGTGACAATGATCATTCCTGCAGAGCTCACCGCCAGTCCAATAAGTAA